AGAAATATGATTCAAAGGGTACTTATCTTGATCTTAGTACGACACCGGGGTCGACTTGTTCAAAACAAACTGGCCAAAATTTTTATTATTGCCAGAGCTTCACAAACCGCTGCCAGGGCTGCAGAATAATTTGCAGAAGAATGTAGCCTCTTGAAAGAAAAAGTGCAATTTCTTTCAAATTTTTACGAAAAAGAACTTCCCCTCGTTTACCTCGACCAAACTGCCCCCCCTCCTCCTCCCTTATACCTACTGCAGTAATTTTGCAACTACACTCTTTTTCTAAAGCAATAAAGGTTTAAAAACTGCAGGCTTTGATCTCAAAAACAGGAAAAGTTTGGAAAAACCATTCCAAACACCATGCAGGGTTCACTGCAAGTTAACGGATTCCCTTCCCCACAAAACTAAACGAACAAGCACAACACTACAAACAAGACGGTCACTTTAATGTAACGGGATGTAGGTTACATATATTATGAATCTATAGCAAAGAAATCACGCAAAAAAAGAGGTTAGAGAGTGAAGTTAACAAGTTACCACAAATGCTTTGGACAGTTGATGTGGTGACACAATACGACTTTTTTTCCGTTCTCCTATTGTGATAAATGCGAAAACGGGAATGGCGAAACAAGCACGCCGGAAATAAATACGCCACCAAAAAGGTTTGGGACAGCGCGGACGTCTTGAATTTTTGATGTTCGAATAAGAAATAAAGGATGGAAAATTTTAGTCAGAAAAAACATGGATCAAGAGAGAAGTAAAGAGAAAGACAAAACGGAATATAACAAATAATATGTAACACTAAGTTTCCGCACTTCTAATAACTTTTTGGTATCTTTACATCACGCAGCAGTGGTTGGGGTCGTTGGTATCCTGCAGAGACCGTAAAAAAAGCAAACGTCAACGTGTAAAAAAGAAATCTCACACAATCTTTTGCTACGACAGACTGCCACGACTAGAGTGCCTCGGAGTTCTTGGGATAGGGGCACTCTGTATAACCGGAAACCAAACGCCACCAGAACCCTGGCCAAAGTAAAACCTAGTGCCAAGAAATGCAACCTCTCAAGCAAGCAGAGCAATAAAAAAGGTTTAAAAATGTTGCAATTCAGTATGTCCTATATCGCGGCACGAACATTGGGGCTCCCCATAGCCACTCATAGCCCGAGAAATGCAGAATTTCGCTCATTATACTCTAGCCTTTCGCAAGAATATAATTTTAGAGAAAAAAGCACAGTCACCATATATCAGTAACGTTGCAGCAAACTTTGGTTTGATGACCACTGTTGGGTATAACAGGCCCTACAATGTTCGTTAATTTTAAGGCGTGTAACGAGCCTTCGCAACACCAATGCGTTTTCATAGCAAGGACAAAAACCTTAACACAACAATCTCGCCAAGCGTTCGGCACATCCGCGACGCCGCAACAACTTTAGTTCGCGGGAGGCAGACGGCAGTACAGGAGAGGGCTCCTGTCGTGTCGACGCTGCGCACGTACAGAGTTCCGGCGCAGCTGTCATACGTCCAGAGACTAAGGTCCCCTCAACACGGAATAGTCAAACAGTCCGGCGAGATTGTTCTATTACAGTAAAAGCTCGTTAATCAGAATTTTGAGGGGGCTGCTAAACCGGTTCAACGATACGAACTTCAAGCTGATGAAAATCGACGAAGAGAAAAGAGCCACATCCGGCGTTGGGTAGACTCGGGAATGCTCTCCATCGCCAGAGGTGTGCAAAGTTCGCTGTTGCGGAGACAATTGCCAATGTAGCCAGCACAAATCAAAATAACCAAAGCCTGCAAACAGACTCGTCTAACCTCCACGTAATTTTATCGCGGCCGGATAGCACGAGCTCGGCAATTGGGCCCGAGCAATATCTCGCTGTGATTACGTCAATATGCAAGAACACGAGATTTCAACATTGTAGGTTATGTTTGATTATTCCTCCAAGACTGGGCTTAAACATTTGACACTGGAGGAGCCCCTCTTGGTTCTGTCATTGAAGGAGCGTTAAACCACTTACTACGGTGGTCAATTGTGATAAACTCAATATACGCGCATTAAGCATCCTAAGAAAAAAACACATCACAATCGTGTGTAGGAGATGCCTTCAAATTGGTATCAAAGGTCAATTACCTCGGAACTGCCGCATACACCAGAGGGCATTGTCGGAGGAAAAAAGCCCCTCTTCTCGTCCGATGGCTGTCTCTGGTATCTGCAATAGTTCCAGGAAATTCATTCTTTAATACCGATTTTAGTAGAGAAATCATCAAGCACGAATGTGACGCTTGGTTTCTTACGAGCTAATAGACTGGTTAGCGCCATACATAGACTATCGCAGAGCGTGATTTAGTGCACATTTAATGCAATGAAGCAGTAAACAAAATTACAGTGTGAACAATACGTACACTTCTCATAGTCACGTATTAATCGGTTGCTTGGGTCTGGCGAAATAACTCTTAAATTGGAGATTGACAAACTTGAATGCAGTCACGTGCCGTACCAACAAAAAGCATCTGGCCTGCCCCAGCAGACAACCGAGGATTCGGTTGTCTCCTGGGGCAGGGTTCGGCTGTCTGCCGGGGGAAGCTTTCAAAATGCAACTGCCCGGCCGGGATTCGAACTTGCAGGGAAACTCTGGGGAACCTATAAGGACACTCTTGGAAACCCATAGGGACACTCTGGGGAAAACCCCTGGGTCCCCGGAACCCAGTTTCAGAATCTACGCTCTAAAAAAGATCACCGATTGTTTCAATTATTTTCTTTTTTTCCTTTATATAAATTAAGAAGCCATATCATATTTACGAAAACAAGATATGGAGAAAATAAATATTTTTAGAAAATTTGCAAAACAAATCGCAAGGCTCCTAAAAAAAGACAGGGTACTCACGTGCTCGTGGAAAAGGTCCTCCCGCCCCGCCGTGTACCCTCCCACGCCGAACGAGCTTTCGGATGGGCGCGTGAACTGACGCCGCCGGTTTTCCCCAGAGGCCACCTGCGTGTGCATCGGAAGCGAGCGTCAACTTGTCATCCGTAACACGTCGCAGAATCTCTAGAGTTGCGGTTACACTAATATTTCGTCACTCAAAAAGGACGATCTCAGACAAAGTCCGAGGCACGTTTTGCCCTTGTACAACAATCTCGTCACGTGGGTCCTACAAAGATCGTCTGCAGACACGTACGAAGCGTACATATCTGTGAAGCCAACGTGCTTCGAGCGTGCGTCTCAATGTCTGCAGCAGACAGTGTCTTCCGTATCGTGCATAAGCAACGTGACTGCGGCCAACAGCTTCAATACGGCCAAGAGCTTCAATATGATAAAAACTAGACTCTCTAACTCTCCATCGTAACTCCGTAACCATTCGAGGGTCATTTCCGAGCGTGTACCGCAGCAAAGAAGCCGCCCTGCAAGGTCACCTCCGCACCTGTATGACCGGGAGTACGCGTATACGAAACCTCACCCCCTAAATGCGAAACCGCGTGCACAGCCGCTGACATCTATTTTTAGTCTATAGCGGTTTTATTGGCAGCGTTTCACTTTGATGGGACATGGCAAACTAGGTTTATACTACAAGTGTTGGAAAGAATTGAATAGAACTTTACTGTGCAATACTTCAAATTGTACAAGGAGATTTCATTTTTTTTATTTTTAGGAACAAATTTAGACTAAAATTAAAGTGGCACGACTCTCGATCAATAATGCTACATGCACCATACATCGTACCATGTACAGCTGCAACGGAAAAAAAGTAGCACAAGTGACCGACGACGGGAGCGACAAAATCGCAACACGCGGCGCTCTTGTTCCCGAGCGCGCCGATAGCGAGAGTGACAGTCACGTTCCATGTCTCAACGCGGGGGCGGCCGGCAGCAAGCAGCTTATTTTAAAGCCTGCATTTTGAAAGCTATCTTATCCCTCAACTTTTTGCTGGCCACCCCCACATTGAAAAATGCAACATGACTTGCACTCTCGCTATCGGCGAGCTCGGGAACAATAGCGCCGCGTGTCGTGGTTTTGCCGCTCCGGTCATCGGTCTCTTGTGCTACTCTTTTTCCGTTGCAGCTGTACGATGCGTGATGCAACGACAAAATGGTAGGATTTATGGATGTTTACATTGAGTCCATCAGATGGGTGGATAGATGGACTGATACTGCTGAACCAAGGAATCGGGCAGTGGCTTGCGCTACCTGGCGATGGAATAACCAAGGTTGTCAACCGAATTTTGATTTTCTTCTAAATCTAGCGCCACCGTGATCTTTGGCATACCGTGGAGTAGGTTTTGGTCAATTTCACGGTTTTGCCGCCGCGAGGCCCAGGAAATTTTGAATGCACCAAAATGGCACAATTGGTGCAGCTGCCCACCCTGCAAATAGAGCCCAGGTACAACTGTAATAGCCACTTTTGCAATACATGGGGACTGATGAAGGACAAAGCATGAGCACATGCAAATGGTTATTCTGGGTGTAGAATCAGAGGTAAGCCAAGTCGTGTTCACCAAAATAAGGCTCTATAACAAAATTCACATGGAAAAACAGCTTTGATCCTTTAATTACGCACATCGATGACATTTTACATGAAAGTGTTTTAATCAAGAAAATTATTTTCCCTCCTTGTACTGTAAAACCCTTCATTTTCGCGGCCTCGATTTTTCGTTCATTGGGCAGCGGGGTCATTTTGGCGACCATTAAATTGCGCGATTAATAAAGGCTGGAATTTGCCTCTACAAACAATACAAATATTCGAACCCATTAAAGTTAGCCAATTTTACAAATCGCGAAAAATAAAGGCTCGCAAACATCAAGGGTTTTACACTATATGAATGGGAATAGAAAAAGCTGTTTAACAAGTTTTCACACAAAAGAAACATCCGGGCAATAAATAGGCTTTTCTAAAGTAAGCTCTAGATGACTTCATGTAATGTAAGCTTTATTGACCCATTTTCGAACAGATGGAGGCCAATGCGATGTGTGTAACCGAACGAGCGATTTGACAAAAAAATTGCACCTATTATGCAGCCCAGCTACAGTGGCAAAAAACCAAAACCGAAGGCACTCTCACCTCCTCGCCATCAGCGCTGAGCAACGCCGTGCTCATCTGCTCTCCGTGGGGCCACTGCTGGTTGCGCATCACAAGGTCCGACGGAGGGCTGTGAGTAGCGCCGGCATCGGAACTCCAAACCTGCGCAGCATCACACCTTCAGATGAGTCGTGGTAATCTCACCTCAAATGAGGAATACTCCAGCAAAAACGCAAGCATAATGTTTCAAACATACTTGAATATGAAAAAAAATGAACGTTTTAATGTAGGCAACTTAAAAATGGTGCGCCTTAAGTCTTCTTTCTATCTTATTATAGTCCGTCGCAACTCAAGAAGGTAGGGTGGGGGAGGGGGAAGCAGGAGGAACGCTGGACAGGAAAGGGAAACCTCTTCCTCTCCTTAGCGCCTACCACACGTTTCATCTGCTTCCTCCGAAAAATAGTCATGGGTTTTCAAGGGCTTTTAAGGGCTTGCGAAGATATTTTCAAGGACCCCTTCCGATACTCGATATATAGTCAATTTGTATGATAACTACAATTTGAAAGTGCGAAATTCTTTATTGCAGGATAGGCCGACAGATGGCAGTACCGACCCGCAACAAACTTGCCCGTCACCGAAACCAACGTCGGACCCGCAGACTGCAGAAAGAAATGTGGGAAACTGATTCAAGGTTTCATGCCACGGGAACGGAGGACACCGCATATTGCAGACGCAGGAGATCCACAATTCACGATGCAATATACATGCGGAAAAAAAAATCGCGTATCACGGGAACCGAAATTGTGCACGCAGATTGCAGACGAAAAAAGAGGAACCCACAACAAATGCTCTTGCCACACGTACCGGTACCACAAGATCGCATCGACCGCGCGATCTGCGTGCAGACGATAGAATTTTTCTACTATGAATATTTAGCTAGATAAACGGTACAGGCCACCTCTCGAGAGCATGGCGCCCTTACGGTATTTTATGGCAAGCATCGCATCACTGACATTAGAAATACGAACGTGCCACGCTTTTGAAAATACACTTTCTTGCGTACTTTACTCACTAAATTCATGCGTTGCCCGTCAGTTTGAAGTTTTCAAATTCACGTGCAATGAAATTTTAAAGAAATTTGGGGGTCCTCTTTCTACATGTTCCCCGTTGCCAGGAATTCTAGAAACGTCCTACGGAAGCCCGCTTAAGGCTCTGTTATACTCCGACGTAACTCGTGCGCGCGTGCTAGCGCGTCACGGCGACGTCACGTCGGCGAAAACACGAAGCTCTATACTCCGGCGTCGTGGCGTAACCGACGCGACCAGCGGCGTTCGACGCAGCCTGACCGCCTCGACGCCAAAATGGAGCACGCCGTATTCCGCGCCGGCCGCGCCAGCGACGCCAGACTAGCATGCATCGCGCGCTGGCTCCCGGCAGCCCCCGCGCGGGAAGCGCGGCGAATACGAGCAATAGCAGACGACGGGAGCTCATCGAGAAGCTCAAGAAGCTCATCGAGGGAATTCGTCCTCACCCGTGTGTCTACGACACGAGAAAGCTTAAGTACCGCTGACCGTGCGCTTGTCAAACATGTACCGTATGTACATTGACCGTCTACGCTTGCGGCGCAGGTGGTGCACCAACAGTGCAAGCGCGAGTTTTCGTCGTGCAAGGTACGTCCACGCCATCGCTCGAACTTGGCGCTCAAGAAGCGCCAGAAGTTTCGTCTGCTATTCGAAAAGAAAAGGAACCGGAGGTGGCGCACTCTCGCAGGAAACGAGCCCCCGTAGTTAGATTCTGCGCATGCGCCGCGCCAGCGGCCCACTGACGCGCGCCGCGGAAGCCGCCAGGGCCGCCGGAGTATAGAGAGGTCGAATTCTTGACGCGCGCGGCGTGACTGACGTGACGTAGCAGACTTCGGCCAGCGTCCGCTTGCGCGCGCGTTACGTCGGAGTATAACAGAGCCTTTACTCTGCAACTTTTCATTCTAACACTCACGTTCTCGTAGAGAGGCGTCAGGAAATTCAGGAATTCGGAGAGTGTCATGGCCCTGTTACGCAGCTCAACGTTACGCAGCGTCTCTGCCTCAAGCTCTTTGCGGAGCTTCTCAAGCATCTTTGCCATTGCACCACGTTCCTCCTCGGCATCCTAAACAATGGACCAACAAAAAAAAAGCGCCTTGCATCAGTTTTGAACCGTGGGCAAGGATATGGCACACAGACTGTGGTCACTACCAAAAACAAGAAGTGCTGCCGTTTCTAGCTGGTCAGCAACTGGTTGGTACTTTTATTTAGAAGCATAATTTTAGGTTTCAGTTAGACTTCGCCTTTCTTGGAATGTTCAATATCGTGATGCTTGCACGACCCGGAGTCTAGAAAACTCGGTTGAAACTTTCTCTACACATAGCTTTGTAAAGTATATTCTCAGAAAGTGGAATATATTCATACATGCACATACTGTTACACAGCTTACGCTTGAAAACGATGACTGCAAAAAGCAGCCTGGTTTATATACCCTGTTTAAGGCAATGACGGTGTGTTAGCACTAACGCCAAGACCCTACCTTATAAGCAGCCCCCATTTCTTACACAGTAGAGGTGTAGAAGAGGGGAGAGGGGTTACTACCCTAATTGCTCTACTTCATTCGGAGGGGGGGAGTTACCACACCAATTACTCCCTTCACTCCGTGCGTCTGCATCAAGCCAGCAGCTGCAGTCTGCCGAGACATTTTCTACACAACCATGAAACCATGTAACCAACGCAAACACGAGCCGCCAAGGTCCATGCAGGATTTCCACGCAAGGCTGTCGCTCCAAACGTTCAACACAATCTAAGGCCCGTCTTAAGAAGCGACAGGGACGAGAGACATACCGCCAGTTACCGTCCACTACAACGAAAAGTAAGCCGTCGGAAAACGCGGCAAGCCAACGGCGCAGAAGACAAACGACGGTCGACGTAAAAACGAAGCGTTTGGAGGCCTCCCCTACCTTGAGTTGTGCGAGCGCCTGGTTCAGGCGTTCCTGGAGGTCGACGTTTTGCGACTGTAGCGACGTCACCCGTCGCTCGGCTACGGACCCCTCGCGCTCTCGTTTGGCGAGTCTGACGATTAAAAAGAAGTCGCAAACACATGCACGTTAGGAAACGGTGTCAGCCAAAAGGCTGCTTCGCACATATATGTGTGAAGAACTGTTCACACACTTGCGCTTGACTCCGGCAAGACCGGTCTTTAAGCTTTCTGCGACGGCTTACGGCCGGCTGCGTGACTGCACGTCCGATCGTAAGCTTGATCGAGTCGATCGGCGTCAAGCGCAAGTGTGTCAACGGGCCTTGAATGCGATCGACTGCGTATAATTAGACTGAAGGTTTGGAAATGTTTGTGTGCCAGGACCTACCCACTATCTACGAGAAGAGTTTGCTCGTAACATTGTGGGGATTCCTTCAAACACACGGTTAAAGATGACCCTGGAAAGCGGGCATCGTTTGCAAAAAGTATTCGTCTAAAGTCAGTCATGTTGTGCTAGAAGAAAACGAAGTATAGGTGACCCCAGTTCAAGGCTCAAAGCTAGTTTGATACGCACTTATTCCCGTTTATCTCAGTTTCGCTTCACAGAATCGTGACTCATTTAAAAAAAAATACTCAGTTATATGCACCCGTTAAAAATGATAGTCATCAGCGAGCCCCAACTGAAAGAACTCCGTCTACAATTACGCATGCCTGGGGGCTGCCGTTACAGTTCAATTTCGGAGAAAGTCGTCCAGTGAAAGCTGTAAAATTTACTATGAACTAACTAGAAGAACAGTAAAAGAAGTTACCTAAACATGAAAGCATAAAACATTCGGAGAGGGGTTGTCCAGATTTCCCTCATATCTATTCTTCCGGATTTAGGTAATCAAATACCATTGTAATTTTAGGCACGAGACGCAAAGCTTTTTTATGTGGAATGATATTTTTAAATGACAATGTTAACTAGAAATCCTAACAGGAGTACACTGGCATGCTTTATTGCAAACAAATCTGGAACATTACAAATGAATTCTGAAATACCATTGAAAGAGCAGCCCTTTATTGCGTTTGCCAGATTTGTTTTTGTTAGGGGAGGAGTAATGGCAAGGAATCCACACCGTTTGTAGGCTGGTAAAACGCAGCTTTTCGAAAGGTCAAAACTAGAGTAAAACAAATGTCAGTAACTCAATAAAAAGAGAACTGAAATTAACTTTTCTCGGACACTCCTAAAACTGAGTTTCATAGTGGAAACAGATAGGTTTTTAACTTGTTTATTTGGTACAAAAAGAGGCTGCCAGGCTCTAGGCCGAGCAAACGATCGAAGACATAATCGCTTCACGGACAGGTGTAGGAGCAACCTTTCCCATGCAGACAACTTATCACTACAGGCAAACAAAAGTAATACCTTTTAATAAATAGTGCAAAAAAATGCCGATGAGGCTGTGACAGAAGTCCATATGATAACCTATTTCATTATTACCCTTTTGCACCCAGTATGCAATGTTTCACGTACAGTGCGCTTAACAGTTAACGTACAGTGTACTCAACTGCTGGCGCAGTGGCCGGAAAAACTGCATGCGTGATTTTCCGGCTCACTCTGGCAGCTTTTGCCGGTGGTGTTTTCTGGAGTAATACTCCCAGGTTCGAAACAATCACCGATGCGTGACTCAGCAAAAAAAAAAAAGTTTTTTGATATTTAAAGGAGATGGTGTTTATCAGAAAATCTGCAAGATCACCGAGATGTGGTAGCCCCGCATGGTAAATTGTAGGTGCGACTAAGCAGAGTGGCAAAAATAAAAACGAGGAGGTCATGCCATAATTGTATGGGGAGTGGCGACAATCGCAGGAAGAGCCGCCTTTTTCTCTGCCGAATCATAGATTTAATCGCTAGACAGCTCTGATATCAGTTTTGGCCACCGCTCCCGCATTTTTTTTTTTTTTGAGCAGTTGAGCATATATGCTCAACTGCTCAAATGGAATTCCTGCTTCTTGGTTTACTGGGATAGTACAGTATACTGTACTATCCCAGTAAACCAAGAAGCAGGAATTCCATCCAGTACACAGGGATATTACTCAGGACAGTTTCGTCTCAAAACTGCTTGCCAGTCTAGCCATTTCGCAAGCGTGGCTGCTACACGAGGATGGAAATAAATAAAAATGTAGAGATAAACCTAAAGCTACAACTATCCTCTTGCGCGCATTGCGTAAACACACGAACACACACACACACACACACAGACAAAAAACGAACGTGTTACGCTGAAACGGGGTCTGGCGAAAATGATAGTGACGCCACATCCGGTCCAACTACCGCCACCTATCTGTCAAGGTCGGCGAAAACAGCCGGCGACTGATTAATCAATGAAAACTGCACTTTTAAGTTGATCTGTTAGGCTTCCACTCATTTCGATTTCACAGACATTACCCGAGGTATGTGGACTACAACGGATTATTTTCAAGGTAGAAGCTGTCAAATCAATACAGCTTCTGCACTCGGTTCAAAAGCGGCTTTTCAAGTCTAGCCTCAACAAGCTAGCTTGTCTCTACTCTGCCTCCAAGGCTTCTAGATGCCGGTTAAAGATTTCGCGGTCACTCAAACCGCCCAGGTTTGCGTAGAACCTGGGCGGTGGAAGCCAGACAACGGCCGGGAGCCACAGCCGCTCGGCGAAGTCCCATGGTTTAGAAATAGCCTCAAGAAAACAAAAATATATAACGCGACCGGTCAGAAAAACCGATCCTCCTCCTACCCACAATGCTAATATGGCCGACCCGACGTACAGTCGGGGACAAAAGTCCCCAGGACGTGCGAGCTGCGGCTGAAACGCATTGCTCTGCCAGCTGCCGACGGGTCGCCTGGTTTCGAGATCACACAAAGGCGCATGCGCATCCTACTCTGTCTGCAAACATGTGTGCTTTCCCACTCTTCTGCGGCACAGCGCCTAACTCGGAATCGGGCGCGTCGTACCCCCTTGGAGATAGCGCTGGCGGCTGACGAGCGTCTGATACACATTCCGAAACTCTAGATACCGCCTGGGGCATTGCGCCGCAATTCGCCGTGTCAGCGCACCTTGCTTTAGAACCAGTTGAGCTTATCGCTCAGTTGAGCTGCCGTGACTTCTTGCTTTAAAGGTTCCATGTCAGTAAGCGCTATCTCCGAGGCGGTACCACGCGCTCGATTACGAATTAAGGTCCATACGCACATTCGCGTTTGAACGCGTTTGAGTGCGTTGCGGAGTCCTTGCGGCCAGGCGCGGTCGCTTGCGGAGCGACGCGCGCCTTCCCGCAACGCTCGGTAGCGCGACGCAAGCGAGTAGAGACTCGCTCAACTTTCCGAAGCGTTGCGGTGCGTTCGGGTGTGTTCGACCAATCAGCAGCCGAAAGAGGAGAGGGGGTGACGTGTTCGCTCTCCTCACCCGGCCGACTCGGCGAGACGTATTCGGTTCGCCGGTCGCAGTGCTTGCTTTTTCGTTTTGGGGAGCGGTGGGGATTATTTTCCAAGGCTGCGATAATTCAAGCATGACAAAACGTCGGGGAAGCCGGCGAGATTGTCCCAAGATCCAGGGTTGGGCAGAAATACTCAAAAATGTATTTGGAAATACAAATACTGGGATACATTAAAATAGTAGCTAAAATACTGATACTGAACTATATCTCTAAAAGTGTATCGCGATACGCATCGGAAATACATTTTCAATAGAGGCAAAAAGTATTTGGGAATACAAATACAGGATTACATTTTAGGGAGAGCAGAAATACAAATACATAAATACTGATACTGCAATGCATTTTGCAAATTTGTTTGAGACGCCAAATGAGATGAAGCTTGAAGTTGGAAGTGGACGTTTTCGATCCTGAAATTACTTTCGCGTAGGCTTGGCACTTTGCCTTGAAGGTAGTGATTTCGGACGACAAGGAGTCTTCAATGGGCTCAGAAAAAACTTTCCATTAAGGACTGACCATGGTCCCTTCCCTGACATCCTGTCTGTCTGACGAGGGATGCGAAAAGACTTCGACCTCTAAATAAATTCTATGTCATCCTAAATCACATCAAAGCGTCACCACGCCTCTGTCCAATAAGGACGCCCGGTCAACATTTATCACATGACGTCACGCTGGAATGAACTGGTACTTTTTAACTGTACGTGTGGCCTTGAACATGAAACTTTACCACGCTGCTATATGAAAGGGCAATACGTACTTTCGTTGTAGGTTACCTCGTTGAAGATCGCGCAGGCAGTGTCATTTGGAGTTTTCGAGAATACTAGACCACCTGAAGCCTCCTGAAACACATGTTTTATCTTCTGTTACGGTTGAAAAAGCAATACGGTGGCATCCCTGTTGTGAAGGTGCTTCCTGCCGACCCTCCGCTACCAACGCATGGATTGCAGTCCTCAAGTTTCGTCTTGCATACTCCGAATATAGACCTCGTGGATTGCGACCTGATATTGCCGGCACCGGTGCGAGCTAGGGTGCCTTCATGTGCGCATCGCATAGGGTGATGCCAACTGCCCGTTTCCCTTTCCCAGTCCCTCTCCCACCGCCATTTTGGTTCTCCATTGTTTCGCCGAGCGCTGGAAAGTGGCTTTTGTGTCCATCGGTTTTCCCAACCGAGGAGGAAAACGCTAATCCCCCTTCCGTGGGTTCCACACCGCTGCTCCGAACTTGTGAGATAATGTGCTTGCTTCCGGGAGGGTTATAAGCCCCACGGATCATCGCCGAGAACCAAGATGGCTGCTGGTCTGTCGGCGAGTGGTATTACAAAGAATGGCATCACCCTAGCAAAGCGCATATGAAGGCTCCCTAGTGCGAGCTCTCTGAGAAACAGCGCGCTCGAGACGAGTCGCAGGTGTACGAAGTCTGGGTCGGCACAGAGAGGCCACGTCTGACCTTTTTCCTGGGTTCGGATCACCAGAACAGCAGGTCACATTCACGTCGGCAGATGACGTACCCCTGAGCCGTGCAATATTACGGGCGCAGCCGCAGACGCATTCGAATATGTGTTGAACTTCACTGCGTGAGTCATTCTACTATTTCAACTCAACCACCGCCAGGCTCGTGCTGCAACGGACTGTGACTCAGCTTTGCCGGCTGGGTGTACTGAGTACGCTAAGGCAAGAAAGGCGGTTAGCAGCGCGCTTTGGATGCCAGCAAACAATGACTAAAAAAATCACTACCGAAGAACCTGCGGCACAAAGTGCTCTGACTGCACTCCTGGCACGCCACCTGGTTCGAGTCCCCGACTACGCAACACTTCTCAGAAGAGAGAAGAGGACGCATTGAAAAATATTTTGGAGTATCAGAAGGAACCTTGGTCAGCATAGTAACAAATCCCCAGCATCTCCCTGACCCTGGTGCCCTCTGTAGTAAAAAAACACAACAAAAAAATGCGTTCGGATTTGTTTTGTTTTTTCGGGGGGGGGGGGGGGAGTATTTCTCAAGAAATGTAGCGAAATACATTTCACTCTGATTGTATCGCGATACAAAGGAACATTCAAAATGTATTTCGATACAGGAATACAGATACTGATGAAAAAACTGTATCGCGATACAGAAATACAGATACGAAATGTATTTCTGAAATATTATCGCGATACATTTGTATCGCGATACTGCCCAACCCTGCCAAGATCGAACACTTCGACACTGTCGCTGTGCGCCGCCATGTTGCCTTGGATTTCGCTTACTATTGGTGAGCCACTAGCGACGATAGCGCGTTCTTATTGGCTGTTCACTGCGGTTGACTGCGTGTCAACACAATTGTGCGTACAAGATTGGCGCAAGCGGTCTTCGCAACGCAGCGCGTCCGCTTGCCGCTACGGAACGCACCGCGCTCAAACGCGAATGTGCGTATGGGCCTTTAGGCGCCGCACCGCAGAAGAGCGGGAAAGCGCACATGTTGGCAGGCGCAGTAGGACCCGCATGCGCTTTTCTGTGATCTCGAAACCAGGCGACCCGACGGCAGATGGCAGAGCAATGCGTTCCAGTCGCAGCTCGCGTGTCCTGAAGACTTTTGTCCCCGACTGTACATGGAACCGTCCCAAAAACCGAAAGCGGCCCAAATGGGCTGGCTACTCACATGGCTTGCAGTGTTTCGGCCTTTGTTTGCAACTTCTTAGCTTCCAGCTGAAGTTTGGCCTTTTCGTTCGCGGTCAAGTCGACGGAATGGCGTGCATAGGCGAGCTGGCGGTCGTAAAGGATCTTCACGCTAACCACTTCCCAAGTGTGGATCTCCTGGCTCGTTTTGACCTGCTCGGTTAAATTGCTGTTCTCGGACTCCAGGTGACGAACGTGGTCCATGTATTTAGCCAGGCGATCGTTGAGGTAGGCAAGGTTGTTCTTCTCTTGGATTCGCGACACTCTGGATGCGGAGTGCGGCGAGTGCGAGCGTTCTCGGCTGCCGCCGGCGTTGGTGACTGACGAGCGAGGCGACGCCGGGTTCGACGGGCCGTCCCCGAGGTCTTGCTGAGACACGTTGTGGGAGGACGACGTCGTCGTGGTCGTCGTCGTCGTCACGGCTTGCTTGCCAACGCTTCTTGTCGTCATGTCGCAGTTGGTGAGGGCGTGCGAGAGACAAACTGGTTATGCGAAATCGGTCAGTTCAAGTGGGATCCCCAGCAACGTGTGTGCCGATGCCTCGCCCAATATAAACCAAGATGGCGGAGTGCCGCTGAAGAGGGTGACGTGACCTGTTGGCGCAATTAATGGGTTAGTTTTGTATTCCGTGAATGCTCCATTTGCTTATTGGCTCTCATCACTTCAGAGATTATTTTAGGGGTGTGCGAATTGGTTCGAACCGGATAGCGCTGCGTCATTCATAACCTTCACAGTGGAAGGGAAAGCAACGACAACCAATTTTCTTGACACTGTTGACGTTAGGAATGACACTGCGCTGTGCGATGCGTTTTAGTACATCATTCAGAATCAGACGACTCCAAAAACAATAACTGGTACTCTGTCGCCGCCTTTGCACATGCATCGTATCTGGTATCGTTGTCAGGGCTATCGGAACGATCTCCTAAAACACTGGTTCGACTCAAATAGCGCAGTGTCATTCGTAGCTTCAACATGCTGCATGTTAACATGTTAACAGAAACGGTTCTCGTGGCTCTTTTGTCTTGCACCGTGAAAGCTACGAACGATGGAGCACTATTCGATTCGATGCCAGCTTCCTGCATCGGCGCCGCCGCCACTGCCGTGGTGTGCCGGGGAGGCAAATTCAGAACTACTTACTAACCTCAAACCGGAACGCAATTATTATATGCGCGAAACTTATGGCTCGAGCCGACTCACAACACATATTCACGATATGTAATTAAAACTAATATCAAAACTCTCGGGCTATAATTGCATGCGAAGCGTAAGAGCGTTCAAACAAAAACCCCGCGGATGAAGCGCACGAACGTAAAAAATAAATACCGGCTAAAATAAAAAATAAGAAACAGAACCCCGCCGGTCGCGCTGCTGTTTGCTTCGCGCGTGCAGGACCCATACCTCGGCATTCTCACTCATGAGTGCGATCACTCACGATCACTCACGCTCACCGTCAGATTTGAGGTGATCGTGAGTGAGGCCGCGAGTCTCGGAAAATTGTGAGTGTGAGTGTGAGTGTGATCGTGAGTTACGTGAACTCATGAATGTGAGTGTGAGTGCGACTCCTGAGAACTGATGAGCGTGAGTCTGATCGTGAGTGTGATCGCGAGTTCTGGGAACTAATGAGTGCGAGTGCGAGTGTGAGCCCTGCGAACTCATGAGCGTGAGTTTGATCATGAGTGTGATTGTGAGTTCTTAATACTCTTGAGTATGAGTGTGAGCTTGAGCGCTAAGTGAAGTACTCATGAGTGTGAGTTTTGAGGTATCTTGAGTGTGATTGTGAGTTTCGAGGCTCATGAGCATGAGCCTGAATCAAGACGTGAGTCTTAGGGTGGATATGAGTTCGGTGATCGCATTAGTCTGCGTGATGACGTGAGCCTGAGGACCATGGCCATGATGAGTCGCGATGAGCGCTGGTATTATCTTAGCCGGGTTGGTCAAGTGAGCTCCCGGGCCGTCTTAGTGGGCGAGGAGACGCTCGCTTCGCAACTACTGCGTGGGGTTCAGGCCGTCAGGGTTGGTTTGGGTGTCGCTCGCCTGCTCCTTCGCCATGTAAGCGTGCCGGCTCCTGTGGAGGGCGGAGGAGGGGGAGGAAGGAGGTGCTTGTTCCTGCAGGCTCCTTCTTGCCAGCGCCCTCCGCAATGTCTCAACCAGCTGTAGAGGGCAGAGGGCGTATGGGGAGGAGGGGGGGGGGGGGGGGTTCGCTTACGTCTGTACTCGGCGTTCGGTCTTCGCTTCACGGCAGGCGGCGAGACGCCAACGGACTGATGGCGCCTCGAGGCGGCGCGGTAACGTCGGAGTTGGGGGAGCGCTCCAAACGGTTAGCGTTCCTCTCTCTGTGGCATGGAAAGGTTCGTGTGGATCTTGTTGTCAAGAAGGCTCCTGTTGTCAAGTTGGTATCAGTGGGCACAGAAGTTTATGATTTCGTAAGCTATAACGTTCGCACGGCTGCAATAAAATTAAATGACTCGCATAATCGTCATCAGCACCCGGAATTTTATTTTTTCCGCGCACCTTAACGTACCTTTCGCAAATGAGTCATCACTCAGGAAGTGCAACAACGGCGGTGTCATGATCGATCGAAGCTTCGAGTGAGGTCTTTCAAATTGTGAGATATCATGCTTTTAAGTGTCGTTTGGGGCAAGATGGCGCAAGTGCATGATAGCCAGCCGGCAATGGCCAGGCGGCGCCACGAGAGTGCTGCATTCAGCGTCACAAGCGGAGGTGTCTGTTAATGGGTCGGCCAGTCTGCCCGTCGGGCCGTGGCGAGCAGCGGCGACCCCGATTTCAGCAGTCCCCGTGTGCATGTGCGTGCCATGTCCCTGTTCATTGTATGCGGTTTTTTAAGATCATCGGGAGCCTTGATAGGTCGAAGTGTTTAGAGCATAATTTGAAGTTGTCATTTGGACACCAGTTTGAACTGTCTTCGTGCACTTGCGGGGTCGCTCTATAATAATCGCCGCCCGATCGGTCTGTGATTCGCTCGTCTCCCAGGAAGTGACACAACACAACGAGAAGGCAGCGAACGCGGTTTACTGTACTTCCCGGTTGCCCGTCTTCGAGAGCCGGCAGTCCGGACCCGCCGACCCTAGATGTCACCTGTCGTTCATAGCTCGCAGTCGCAGTCCGTGTTCACGACTGCGGATCGTCCTTCCCACGCACTGCGCACGCTAGCTGTTCCGGGCTATCAGAGCCAGAGTTTCGCTGCGGAACCACTCCTGGACCGTCATGGCCTAGGCCGACAAGGCCAGGCTCGCCGTTTCCGCCGGTCCTGATCCGAAGTTCACTGGTGGAATGCTCCGGGGACCGACATGAGCCGGACCAGCCAGAACGGCTCTATCGTTCCTGCCCGGCCCCAGCCTCGTGCAGCACGCTCTTCCTCTTTCCTCGCCGGCTGGCCCCCGCTCGCGCCTCGCTCGACCGTCCTCTTCTTCTCCCGACGCCCCCACGACACGAGAATAAAATCTGGGTAATTAGAACCAAACTCTCCGTGCTAGAGAACAGTGCACAAGTCTGGTGTAAAAAGGCGACAGGCAAAAAAGTGTGCGTGTGAGAAGGATATCTACGCTTCGCATGAGCTTTTTCTGGAAAAAAAAATTTCATCCTGTTTTCTGCACGCCGTCACATTTGTTACCAGATTCAGCATTAAATTTGGTAGCCGAAACAAACAAAAATTTGTTCTACGAAAATCCACTATTTGAAAACTTGCATGCTTAAAAAGTTTTGGTTGCGACCGCGCGTGCGGAACGGCGCGCGCGGTCGCAACCAAATGCACGCCTGCAACTACGAGTGCCGGAACAGGTCGTAGGGCGTCTCGCTTGAAGACCTGATCGCCTGATTCTCGACGTCAAAGCGAAGCAACAATCGGCCCGATTTGTCCTACGGTATTTCTCTAAATGGCTGTCTCAGAGACTCGTAAAACAACTTGTATAAATACGTTATTTTGCAAAAGGAGTCTGTCAGACCACTTTCCAAGTCTACGCACCTATTTTCGTTCACTTCAACAATTAATGTAAAGTTCACATACTTGATGCATCGCACTCCAGTAATCCACTTTGTCGCCGTGTCGCTTCCCAAGGTCTTAAAGGGAAGCGGTAAAGTCTGACGGTTGGGTCACCTGCGCGACTGTGGCAGTCTTTCACGCAGCAGTAGCGGCGTTTATTTTTGGGGGAAACTCTAGGCTGGGAGAGATGTCACAGGAACCCGGAAAGGTCATAGAGACGTGAAGTTGAGACTTAATTTTATGAAAAAACAGTTCCAAAAAGGCTCACGCCGATCCAAAATGCCACGTTCACACGTGGTTTCTAAATGCGCCCGCCCCCGGTCCTCGCGACCCGGGCCGTACTGGCCTACCCAATTTGTTTTATTTTTCAGTCGCTAGATGGCGCAACGTGTAGTGCCAAGCTGCATTGCTGGTTGCCTATGTGCACACTTAGCAGACTGTGGAAGCTACGACTCAGTGGGCCAATTAGAGCGTGGCATAGATACAGATGGCATCTAGAATGGACGCCTGTGAGACGCTGCCACGTGTCTCACTCCAATAAATCTACTGGCTCATCGGGATTCGCAGAATTCGCCGTGTGCCGTGTGCCTTCGCTGACGGAGGCGCGCGGTGGCCGCGGCGCCTGCCCCACGGCCACGGCCGGGTTGCCGGCGCGCCGGCTGGACGCGACTCCGAGGCGCCAATTGCCCGGGCTTCTCGGGCTTCGTGCAAGACGCTGTGCTCTCCCCCCCCCCCCCCCCCCCCCCCCCTTTGCCGTTGTTTACTCATGTTTCTTTTCAGGTTATTATGGTCGAATGCATAGGTACTCAGAGTGAGGCAAGAATTTCTTGTAAAACAAAAATAATATATCTGATAACCAATTTTTTACAATTCAATTCTGAAACACTTCTTATTGTTGGAAGGCATATGACACATATCGCGATGATTCAAGCCCGTAATGAATTTTTACCATGGAGTAGCAGACGGCAAGATTGATCAGCGGGTCGTTGAAGTGCGCTACTGCGTTGAATGAACACTTGCTAACTGAGCGACAAAGAATCTGTCTAGAACCGATGGTTACAGAAAGGCCGAGGGTTTGATAATTATGCAACATTAATTATAATATCTCTTGAGAATGTGCAACTAAATGACCGGAGAAACCGTTTGTCATCACTTCCGCGAGTTATGAAAAAAAAAAAAAAAACCACTCAACTTCAACTTCTTGAATGTGCTGCTAATTTCCTGGAACTAAATGCACGAAATAAATTTTTATTTTATACTTACTTTAATCAATTCACTTACAGACGTATGCGCGTAGTTCAAAAAACCATTGCGTCATACGCACTGCTTAAACTTCGTGATCTTGGTGCGCGAAAATTCCGAAAATGACCTGTCATGTATTTTTTCTCAACAAGTATTAACTATCGCAAGGGCTGCATGCTCTCACTTTTTAACTTCAAATTCGATTACT